ACAATTAGTCATGGTCCTTAGCAAAAAAATACTGTTTTGCCGGCACAGTTGATGCCGCTTTGTTCAGTGATACTAGGGACCATTGTGAATGATTCCATCCGAGGAAATGAAAAATCCATCCACTGGATTTCAAGATGGCGGACCTTCGTTTTTTTGTATGGCACTAAAAAAATAATTCTTCTGGAGCCCGTCGTGTGGGGTATCAAATAAAAGGACTAGACGAGACAATTTCAAAAATATATCGTTTTAATACATTTCCATTGCCCTCTTAGAAAAAAATCAACTTACATTTTTAAAAGTAGTCAAAACATGCCAAGTTTGAGGTCCAGTAGGTACAAAATGGCTGACATGTAGTTTCATAAAAGTATGCCAAATGATCCACCATATCCTTAACTCTAACGTGACGAAAGGAATTTCGAAAATAGTAAGATTTAATGTATATTTTTCAATGGAAAGTAGATCATTGGGAACTGCAGAAGGTCAGTAAGAACTGCTTGTGCGCCTCCATAGGTAAATGTTTAAGATGCAATTCTCATCATGATTGCTTTTAGTAGGTCTGTGGCTTTAACACTTAAAGCTAGATTATGATGTGCCGGATCATTTTGAATCTTCGGGCACGGTTGTGCCCCCGCCAAGTCAAGTAAAAAGTGGCTTTGCCGTACCATATTTCTCTTAAAGCAGTTTCGGCCAAAGTTGAGACCCCTTTAACGATATGTTGGATAAAAATAGAAATATTAAAGCTCTAAATGGAGTAAAATACTTAAGTTTAAGAATAGAAAAAAAAAACAATTAACTATGTGATTCTATGTGAATACACAGGATAACCATTTTAAATTTACATCGAAACAGCATTCATTGCAGTTTTAATTGTAGAATCATGTTAGTGTTTAGTGTATAAATATGAAATACAATGATTCTAAAGTTATTTCGTACCGACAACATCGTGGATTGCACAACTATTCTGGTGGAGTGGCGGACTTGGCTGTCTTTAACAAAATATATCTTGCAAGTAGTAAGTATACCTATGATTATTTGTTTTTGCAATTATTTAATTTCGGTCGCTCAAATAGGCCATATTTGACAACTTTCAGATATAAGGTTATTTTTCTTTGATGTTGTTTTTTTTAATACGGGCTGTCAAATATGGCCCATTGGAACGACCGTACTCGAAGTCAATATTTTATGTACGAAAACTCTCATTTTTTGCGGTTGATGTACCTAATGAGTGGTAAGACTTGCTTTTTTTGAGTGTAAAAATATATTTATTCAATAAAAACAAAAGGTATAAAAACAAAACAATAATCCTAAGCAAAATATAAAAACAAAACAAAATAACTACCTAATCTAATCGCCTATCTAAAATGCCGTATCTGCCCAAGCAGCGGCAGCAGCTTAATGCATGGTTTCCCGTCTCGTCCACCATTTGTCCACAAATGCACGCATGAGGTTCGCAGACCTTACAACCTAACCGAAGAGACACAGCTACACGCAGAGCTACACGCAGGGAGTCGTTATCTAGCAGGGTTCCCAAGTGTGGAGATGGTAGAGCGTGCAGCCATGCTCCTGACTCAGGGCTCGTTGAAGCCCGAAGTCTTGCCAAGTGCAGTCCTGTAGCGTTGCTCAAAAGGGTCTCGAAACTGGCTTTTGCTGCAACGTCATCCCAAGCGCGCTGTACATGAGCAGCTTCGATCTTAATCGGTGTGTCCGGGAAGCGATTTGACCAGGCCGCCAGTGCATCTGCTGCATACGGGATGGTTACCCTGTCTCCATTCTTAGACAAAATATTAGAGACAAGGTCTGCCACCCCGTGCACCGATGCCAAGAAGGCTGGCAACTCACATCTGGCACGTCGCACTCCACCCCGTGCCTGACCGGCAAAGCCGCCTGTGTCCACTGATCTTCGCCGAGAGAAACATTTAAAATGGATTCAACGGCATCTTTCAGGTGTTGTCGAAGAAGCGATCTTTGCCGGGTACTGCCAGGAGGGAGAAGTGCGTAGAAGGTACGTAATCTTGGGAATGGCGAAGCACATTTTAAGTAACACTAGAGCGACATGGGCAGACAACTGTTGAAGGCGATCACTCGCCAACCTTAACATTTGCTCCTTGCCTCAAAGCTTCTGAAATACCAGCCGGAAAGATGGGAACCAGAAGACAAAAAGTGATTTCATCAATTTGTTTAAGACCCGGTAGTATAGTTTGGAAGTTAGCAGATTGTGTACGAACGTCTGTACTGCAGGGGTAGAACTCGCATTTAGATGAGTTGATCTCCAAACCCAGTTCTTTAAGACGTGGTACTAGTGTGACTAAATCCTTCTCAACATCCTCTGGTGTCCCCCCAATGGTCCCATCGTCCAGGTACCATAGATTTAACGGCGACTGAAGGTCGGCTATCAAGTTCTGCAGAGCCAGGCTAAATACCAGTGGACCAAGTGGGTCGCCCTGCTGAGCTCCGACTTGAGAAGAGATAAGATCTTTGTTATAAAAAGGTTAGAGGGCAGCCGTATACTTGGTATAAGTATGGGTACAAACATGGGATCTTATCTTTAACCGCAGTCAGCAGAGAGTCTCTTTCCAGCGTGTTAAAAGCGTTCTTCAGATCAAGCTTCAATATCAAACAGTTAGCGTTAGCGGGATCCATGGCAAATGAGCGTGTGGCATGGATGGCGGCTTCACAACCCAACTGCGTTCCAAAGCCCAACTGGTGCGGCTGTAAATAGGCCGCCATTTCTTCCTTTACCAGTGACAACCTAATTTTGCTGTGAGACGACGGAAGACGCTTGTGGCAATCGGCCTGGTTCCGCCGTCTTTCTTAGTAAGGGCGCAAAGGGTAGCTCCGTACATAAAGGGGCAGACGCCTGGGTTCAAACGACCACTCAGCAAGAAATTACATAGCCTGGTCAAACTTACTAGTAAACGCTGGCCGTTGTCTCCTGCCGAACTAGACGTCAACTCCTTTAGATGACAGGGCCTGATACCATCTAAACCCCCGGACGATCCACTATTGAAAGAACTTAGCGCTTGATAGACGGCTTCCGCCTCCACGGATAAAGCTGTAATGGAGATGTCTGGTTCAGGAGGAAAAGATAACGGCCGCGATGGGGCGGGATGTTTGGATCTAAGGGCCTCTAATGTTTCCGGCCCAGGACTAGCTACATCGTCGCTCGAAGTTAAGATTCTAACTGCGCCTCTCAAATCGCCTTCGAACACTTTTGCCTCGATCGTCTTGGTAAGGGAACGTTGCCCTGGAAGTAAATTATCCCCGGGAAAAGGATCTAAATATTCTGTAATATTCTTTTTAACTTTGGATGTTAAGCTTCCTGGACTGGACCGGTCGGGACATCTCAAAGCTGTGAACGAAAAGGAAAGAAGCCGATACCAGTCTTCGATAGAATTTTTTTTTGAGTTGTGTTTTGATAGTATCTCATATCTTTACATAAGGCTTTTTTGATCTCACTTCATTCATATACCTATGTACATGTAGGTAATCTAAAAGTGCTTTAGAAGTTTTATGGTCCGTCGAATGAGTAACAGATTTAAGGTAATTGAATGATTTTTTGAAATATTGAATGTTAATTTAATGACTGTTTGGGTCCTTAACACACAGGTTTCAAATGTTATCCAAAATATCGTTGTTTTGGGCGTCGAAATTGGCCTGAACTGTTTCGAGAGAAACAATTTTATTTAATTTAATCATTTATTGTAGGAACCGACACAAAAACAAATACAGGACAAATACAAAAATAAAAACGGTACAGCAGGCACTACTTATATTTAACATGAATTTTTCTTACAGGCCTACTAAACTGAGATAGCATTCATGAGTAGAGCAACATGGTACCTATGGCTTTTTACTCAACTTGGCTTGGGCACAACCGTGCCCGCAGATTCAAAATGATCCGCCACATCATAATCTAGCTTTAAGTGTTAAAAGCAATCATGGGAAGAATTACATCTTAAATATTTATGAAGGCGCACAAGCAGTTCTTACTAACCTACTGCAGTTCCCAATGATCTACTTTCCATTGCAAAACATACATTAAATCTTATTATTTTCAAAATTCCTTTCGTTACGTTAGAGTTGAGGATATGATGGATCATTTGGCATACTTTTATGAAACTATATGTCAGCCATTCTGTACCTACTGGACCTCAAACTTGGTATGTTTTAACTACTTTTAAAAATTTTACTAGGTTTTTTTCTAAGAGGGCAACTGAAATGTATAAAAACGATATATTTTTGAAATCGTCTCGTGTAGCCTTTTCATTTGATACCCCACACGATGTGCTCCAGAAGAATTATTTTTTTAGTGCCATACAAAAAAACGAAGGTCCGCCATCTTGAAATCCAGTGGATGGATTTTTCATTTCCTCGGATGGAATCATTCACAATGGTCCCTAGTATCACTGGGCAAAGCGGCATCAACTGTGCCGGCAAAACAGCTTTCGGGTGATATTTGACCGTACCCGCTTAGACTAAATTGTCGAAATTATGTTTAGAATTATTTCTGCGATGCCGTGTGGTGCCGGCAGAGTAGAATAGCACACCCCCTCTCTTCCCGTGGGGGTCGTAAGAGGCGACCGCGGGATAAACCCGACCCAAACAGCCATAGCCAACCGTATGGTGACGGTTAATCCACCACAAAAGCATTCCCAAGGAGGGATGACGTCAGGTAGGCGGCCGGTCATAAAACATTGCCAACCCTTTTGCTACACGATTTTGTGCTCTAACAAAGCATATAGCGCCGACGACCCCAACTAATTTGGGATAAGGGCAGGAAGATGTTTTTTTTCTGATTTACTTACCAGTATCTATAGGTGTTGTATGTGTACATAGCGTTGCAGCCAAACAGCCAATCTTTATCGGTGACATTGACGCTCTCAACAGCCACAAAGCGGTTCTGCGGGAAACTCACTAGTCTTATCATCAGGTACGTTGTCCTGGAACAAAAAAATGAGAAATTAAATCAAGAGGTTGAAAAATTCATCAGGGTCAGCCAGGCGTCCGTAGCTTAATTGGCAGAGCAGTGGGACGGTTTCCCACAGTCCCGGGTTTAAGTCCCGGCGGTCGCAGACAAATTTTTAAATTTTCTTTCTTTAAATTTATTCTACAACATACTCTTATCATTAGATAATAATCTCTTACAATTATTATGTTAGTGCACTATACCGTATTGACATAATTTCTTACGTAAATCAATAGATAAAACAAATAAAGGAGGACAACCCATTCAACTCTCATCATAAGATTAGATTATTTCGATTGCAATAATACCTAATTGCCTATTGGTAAGTGGTTAATTGCAGTACTGAACAACTTTTACCATATAGGTATCGCTATTTCTTTCAACTTTATAATTCCTACTTAATAGAACCAATTGAAAAACAAAATAGGATAAGTATATGAACAGTAGGATAATGCATTATATAGGCCCGCATTTGTCTGCTATCTTACCTGTCGGTAAGTGATAATGCAGACGATGTTGGAGCATGCAAAAATTAGAACTATCTGTATAAGTTGCCGACATATCCATACAAAAACAATTTCTGTACTCTTTCATAAAGTACTAACTACTCGAAGTGCCCATATAAGGTGCAAAAAAGTAGTAACAAAAATAAATCTTCAGTTCTTTACAAAGTTGTCACATTTTATGGGCCTCATAAACAAACATACATTGAAGAGACATAACGGTGATTTATTTCCAAAACATTGCGTAAAGGCTATTTTAGACTTGAAACCATCACACTTGTCAGACGGTGACGCATTAGGGATCTCTCGGAATATCTTGTCCCATCGTACCATGATTCTGGAGGCATGCCAGCTACGTGGAACAACTTACAAACGCCACATCATGGTGTGACGGCGTTTAATCCAAACTAATAGGTTTCTTACTGAAAGTTACGAAGGTCAAAGAGAAGATAAATATTTGACTAGATCAGTCCTGTTTATTCAAAAAAATCCTAGCCGTAACGTAACTTAAAGAGTGGCACGGAATTCAAGAAGGAGAGGACTTTTAATTTTTCGCCTAAAGTCTAAGCATGAAACTGTTCGTTCGTGTTGGTTAAAGGCAAACATAGTTACATACTTACATACAGGTCGACCTAATAAAAGCGTGTTAAAAATGGCGCCTTGTTTTTAGAATGCCCTGCATGCGCCAACATCCGTGGGTACTAAAAACTCCTCAAATTTTTATTTATTAGAAAGTAGTGATGGGCCGAACACAGGTTTTGCCGAATCTGAATATTCGGCCGAATGTTCGGTAAAAAGTTTGCCGAACCGAAATTCGGCCGAAATATTCGGCAGGACATGATGTCCATTTAAAATAGTTATGATTATCACTTGTTTACGAATTACGCGCTGATTCGCACCAGACCACTCCGCTCTTTACCCTCTAACTTGTTACATTGGAAACTTTCACAACAAATTAAAATAAATCTGCTTCACTGCTTTTCTTGACATAAAAGTTTACCACACAATTTACATAAAAAAGACACATTTTTATTCGGTCAAATATTCGGCAAAGTTCACCGAACATTCGGCCGAAACCGAATATTCGGTAATTGTGCCGAACATGCCGAATACCGAACATAAACCGAATATTCGGCCCATCTCTATTAGAAAGTATTATTGCTGCACCACGCAAAGATGAAAACACCTCACTGGACTGCCAACTTTTTATATAAGGGTTTATCCACATGGTGATAGTGGGGTCATGGTTTCGATAGTCTACCTCTATTACTAGGTAACATAAAATCTCAGGGTTTATCACCTGACCTAAGACCCCATAACGTCATTGCGTAATAATATTATCGCACACATAAAACAACAGAAGAATAAACAAAAAGAAATACAGTACGTACAATAAGGCGGCCTAAATACTAGAGTAGCATTCTCTTCCAGGCAACCTTTGGGTGAGAAAGAAAGTGCAATCTAACATAACTACCATAATCATAAAACACCACTCTCATCAAAAGATAAAAACACAATTATTAAATCCACTTACTTATCAATCTCCGGGCGGTATATCTGATAGATCCTGCGGTTATCTTCGTACCAAAACGCATCCGCCTGCATGAGGACGACGGGCCGCTTGATATCCGCACTCAGGGTCATTGACCGATTAGCCTGGAATTCATAATCAGGCTGTATCAAATGAGTGGGGTCGGAAGGTTGTAAGTAGATAAGCGGAGTTGCAAAGGGAAGTGTATGACATAGGGTAAGATGGGGTACAGTGAAACAAGGGGCACAGCACAGTGAAACAACCACAATAACTTTATCACTTTCTGACTAATCCATTATGCTTATTTGAGAGATTTATTAAGCTGTCGATTCTCCATCTGAGTGCAGTAATTTTGTAAAATAAAATTAGGCAGTTAAATATATAATTTTTTATAGCCGAAAAACCTTTTTCTGTTTCACTGTACCCCACCTCACCCTACTCATATTTCTGTTGCCAATAAAGGGTGTGATGGATGGCCCTCCGAATACAGATAGAGTGCATTCAAACCATACCATACCATACCATACCATAACAGCCACAACAGTCCACTGTTCAAACCATAACACTCAGCAATTATCCACCAGAATCATATTTCAGGACACGTTTCTTTTGTCATCATAAGTAATTTTCTAGGAGAAAGTTGTTCACTTTCATGGTCAGCATGATGCATCATATCATCAGATCAGTATTCGAAGAGCTGTCCCATACACCTCGTATGGATAAGTAGGTAAGTAGGATCACGGTTGCCGATAAAAATTGTATTTTAGCCGTACCTAAAGACCTAGACTGTTCATGTCTGGCTGTTGTTGATTATGGTAGTCAATAATATGGAAAAATTGCCCAATTGAAGTCATCATGCTAGGCATACAAAATTCTGGATTTATCATTCCACCCTTATCTGATATTATCGGCAGTCCTTGAAGCATGGTTGACGGCGAATTATTGATCAAACATAATATTTGCAACCATACATACGATCATCATTATTTTATTATTATCATGTTTTTATTGATTTAATTACATTGCCCATAAATGTCGGTATGTATGATCGATTAAATAGGTAAGTTTTGTAATACTAATAATAAAATAGTAGGTAATAGTAAAATTTGTAAGTTAACAAGACAATACCACTTACACCATATTATGAGATGTTATTACGATTTCTTGATATGGGGCAGTAAATGATAAGATTTTATTCAAGTAGGTAAAGTGGCTCTTACAAAGGGGAAAACTGTAGCAGAGTGCAAACTCTGCATGGACATCCTCCCTAAGCCACCCTCACATCTCCCTTTTTCGAATCATTTTATAACTTAAATTTGGAACACGGCACCGAAACGTCACTGTTCTTGGCTTTTTTGACGCACTCCTCTCTAACTGACGGTGAAGTCAACACCTATCCTTGTTAATTTGTACTCTCGCATATTTTTGCAACTGTATTTAACCAAGTAAAGTTCCCGAAACAGTCCAAAAAGTGAAAGTGAACATTTTGTCTATCCTATATATTTTGTGATACATTAATGGACCCACCCAAGGTAAGCCTCAAATCATTCCCGACAACCATCTGCTCACCTCCATACTCAACATCACAGTGTGTTAATGTTTGTTACGTCTGCAGGGTCCATATCTTTGAATAAAGATCATCCATTGAAGTTAATCCTATTATTTATGGCCCTCGCGGCTATAAAACCTCATTCCACTCTAGATTTTCCTCCCGCGGCTTCAACCGCAGCTGTTTTGGCTTTCTCGTGGAAACAGCATGTTTTCCTGTGGTACTAAATTTCATCAAAATCCATCAAACCGTTTGAGCGGGAAGCGGTAACAAACATGGTACACGAACTCGCACAGACTCTAGGATTTACGATATACTAGCCTCCTGGAGTAGCCTAGATGGCACCACTAGGTTTTTAAAACGCGAAAACGAAATGGTCGTGGAAATTACTTACCCTTCTTCCTCGTCATTCGTCTTTATACTTATCTTAGTTTTTGCTTTTGCTTTTGAAGAACAGACAGCTCATGGCCATCAAGAGCTGTCTGTTCTCGGATATCTGTTCTATGAGCGGATCCACGATGTCAAACATATACTTTTTAACGGAAATCACTCGCTAGCACCACAATACAACCCAACCCGAAGCATCCCTTCGTAATTCCTCCGTCTTACCTGGAAATACTGCCTCGCTTTGGCCGTCAAGAGCTGTCTGTTCTCGGAGATCTGTTCTGTGAGCGTGACCACGATGTCAAACAAGTACTTGTTGATGGCCATCACTTGCTAGCACCATAATTAGAACATTTTGTTACGTAACTTCATCTTACCTGGAAGTATTGTCTCGCTTTAGCTGTCAAGAGCTGTCGATTCTCGGACAACTGTTCTGTGAGAGGGTCCACGATGTCAAATAAGTTCTAGTGGATGACCATCACAAGCTGCTTTTGAATACAACTCAACCCACTAGAAGCCTGTCTTCGTTCGTCTTACCTGGAAATACTGCCTCGCTTTGGCCGTCAAGAGTTGTCTGTTCTCGGATATTTGTTCTGTAAGCGGGTCCACGATGTCGAATAAGTACTTGTTGATTGCCATCACAAGCTGCTTGCACCAAACGATGCCCACGTGATCAGGGGACACCCATACGCCTGGTATTGCCGTCACCTAGAGTTTCGAAGAATCGTGAATCGATTTTTCAAAGTAAAATAATTATGAGGAAGAAAGTCATTATTAGTGATCATATTTGATAGGAGCTTCACAAAACAAAAATTTAAGTCTTTGATCTATTTCGAAGGGTTTTAGAAACGAAGGAACAATATGGGCGGTCATAATCATACACATTTTTTCCCCGTAAGAGGTAATTTCGGTTAGTAAACTGATATCGGATTTGACGGATTCCAAAAATATACAAGCATCACGTAAATAAAATTATCATCTTGATGCATTATCTGTGTACTGATTATGCTCTACGTAAGATAACAGAGCAATGGAGCAGTAAATCGGCCTTGAAAAAATTTATACTAAAGAAATCAGAAATCATCTCTTTATTTGTAGTAGTAAGGTATTCATGCAATAACCCGCCAGTTCTTTGGCTG